TCTATCCTTGCAAAAATTTCAATCAACAACGGTTTGGTCACTCACCTAGGGTTTGGCATGGCCCTGTGTTTCAAATAAAATCAAGCTAACCAAAGAAAGTAGAAAAGCAAAAAATAAAATAAAAAATAAATCAGTATGTGTGGAGGGTTTTTCTGAAATCTCTTTAAGACCTAAATTGTATAAAATGTAGTTTAATCTTTCACTCTTCCACTCAGCCCATGCTTCTAATCTCCTCTGTGGGCTTGGCTTAGAGGGGGATTTCTTTTGAAAATCGCCAGGGATTTTCCAAAACTGTTAAGTAAATTTTTGCACAAAGAGGTATGTTTTTAAAAGGGAATAACATGTATTTTTATTTTTAAGCAAGTTGATGATAAAGAGAGAATTAGGGGAGCAAATCTGGTTTGTACGATTACTACAAGGCTTGTGTACAAGCTGCTTTTGCTTTCTGAGGAGGTGGAGTGGAGTCAGATTGGGCCTTCTGGACCTATTACTTTATGGATACTGTGGGATTACCTTTTAGGTAAAATCCTGAGCACTCACATATATAGGGCCTTGTAACAAAAAGCAGCTGGTCTACCTCCTTATTGGTTTATGGTTTATGTATGTGTCATCGAGTGTCTGTGTGTGTGCGTGATGTGTATGTGTATGTATGAAACCCCATGAACTTCATAGGGTTTTCTTAGGCAAGGAGTTGGTTTTGCCAGTTCTTTTCTCAGAAATACAGCTGACAGTGCCTGGTATTTGCTGGCAGTCTTCCATCTAAGTGCAAACTAACATTGCTTAGCTTCCAATATCAGGTGGTGTCTGCTATCTTTAGGGCATTTAGGTTTACCCTTAACAGAAGGAAGGAAGGAAAGGAAACATAACAAATTTGTAGTAACCTATATTTGATGGTGTTAGTTCTAGAAAATCAATGGTTTTCCCCAAGAACTAGAAAACTATATACATAGTATCTTGCAATAGTATTAACCTTTCTGATTTTTCCATGTTTTGTTGGGCTATAACCTAGATCTGAAACTGATTTAATTGGTATTATTACCATGTAATGCATATAAGATACTCAATAATGTGAAAGTGTAAATAGTTTTATTATTATAGAAAAGTTAAGTAAATAGAAATAAGCTGACACTTTTTGGTTAAATAAATATTCATCCCTTTTGGTGTAAGATGCCCTTTGCTTTCAGAAGTCACCCAAGAAGTTGAATGAAGTATCTTTATGTGCTGCCACTGCCACATGATCTCAGATTAAATACTCCTGTTTCTGAAAGACTTCTTTTGGACAGCATAACTAAACAAATAGCCTCATGAAGACCTAGGAGCTGTCCAAACAAGTCCCGGTTAAAATTGTGCAGGAAAAAAAAGTTGGGTTACATTTTTTCCCAAACTGAACAGCCTACAAAGCACAAAGTAGGACTTCCATGGCAATTATTTAAGGGAGAAGCACATGGATTACCTAGTGCATGTCCCTTGAAAATGTCTTTTAATAGAGAAATATTAAATTATGATAGCCAGGGACTGCATTCTATTTGAAATGCCACAAGCAACTCTGTTTGACTTGAATGGAATTGAGAGCTAATATGGTATAATGGATAGAGTGTGGTTGCGATATGAGGTTTGGGCTGAAATGCTCTCTTGGCCTTGAAGCTTGATGAGTTGATTTGGGCAACTTAATTGCAGAGTTTAAACAAAGGCATGGTTTCAGCTGGAGGCCTGGCAGATTTGAGGAGAGTTGGGACCTGATGTAACTTATTGCTTCAGATGTCAGGCTGAAAAATGCGGTATAGAAATAAAGCAAATAAATAAATAAATAAATGTCAATAGTAAAAAGCATAGATTATTCTTATAGCTAGTAAAAAAAATCTATCATTAGTAAAAAGCATATATCACATTGCAGCAGCTTTTTGACTTCAAAGCTGCATTCATATCCATGCAGGGCATTTAAAATTTAAATACTTTCTTATATCAGAGGAGATAACAGAGAAACAGCTTATTGACTGGATTGGGGAACCCCCACAGGCAGCGTTAGTTTAAAGATCCATCTTCACTTCCTTAACATAATAAACATCTTTACTGCTATAAGCATCTTAAACTCTCACTTTTAATTGTATACTTGGTCTGCTGGTTTTTGAGTTACATATACAAGCACATGTGCCTGCTGAGTTTTTTTGTTTTTGTTTTTTTGTTTTTTGGAAAAAGATTGCAAACTGGGTGCCATAGCACTCTTAGATTTTTTTAAATTGTAAAAGGCAATATATTAATGATTTAATGACCAATTTAACCTCACAGGATTGGCTCCATCATGTATTTTGAGTGTATGGGTTGTAAAGCATTTTTAGTGACAAACCTATGGGAGAAAATAAACATAGGAACGTTCAACATTAGATGCAATACAGTAAGGAGGTAAACTCCACATCCTGTCTTCACCTTCTCTCTCTTCCTCTGCTTCTTTCATTTTGGCAGCCTACATTGAACATCAGTCTCTCTTGAGTTGATCTGAGGGCTGCGGTCAAAGCCAGGCAGTCTGCTCTGCTCTGTTGCAAAAGCCTTGTGTAGTGGTTGCTTGGAAACCGGGTGAAAACTTTTGGCCTTTACAGTTGTGGTGGCAACGGGGTTGAAAAGGGAAGCAGGGCGTAGCCAAGAGACTATTCGTTTCTGTCCAGGTTTCCCCCCTCCCATCCCCCAGAAGAAAGTCTTTTTGCCACATTTGAATTGCAGTTGTAGTTCCAGAGACTTAAAAACACACCCTCAAAAAGAGTCATCTTGCTTAACTGAAGTTTCCTAAAGAAAGTAAGCCTGTACTATGCATACATAAAATCATTCTGGTGTTCTCCTGTGACTCAGAATCCATATTTGGTGCGAACTTGCTGTTGAAAACATGGGGGAGGACTAATCCATCGCCTCCTCTATAACTAACCTGACATGCTGCCAATTGAGAAGGGATTAAAAATGATTTTTGAAATGTGAAGCAGAGAAAGTTCAAGACCAGATCCTGAGACTGGCAATGCCTGCCTCAGCATTTGCCAGGGCCAGGGCAGATTCAATGCCTTCTGACAGTGGAGTCTTGCTAATCTCCTTCCTGTCCCTTCTTCTCGGCCTCACTTTAGCAATAGTTACTGCTATGCTCATATGATTCCCTTTGCATGACTTTACAAGAAAGGCTGCTTTGTTTTTCTTTTGCCATTGAGAGAAGTATCACAATCTGGAGGTCTTTGCACATGCAAGGAATGGTTTAATGTTCCAAGGTTATTTTATGCTTTTATGTTAAGCCGCTTTGAGTCTCCTTTGGGAGAGATAAAGTGGGGTATAAATAAATACATATAATAAAAATACATTTATGTATATAGATCCAGGCATAGGAAGCAACATTGTGTCTTTGTGGAAGATACCAAAAGGGGCAGCTCCCCAAAGCTGAAAGAGAAATCTGATAGGTGTGTGAGACCAATTTATTAATCAAAGTAATATAAATGACAGTGCATTAGAGTAATTATTGGTTTCTTAGGTGATTAGCTTGAAAAGGAGCCACTGACCAATCAGCTATAATAGGCATCAGAAGGTCAGGACTCTTCTTTAAAAAACAGAATTAGTCATCTAAGAAATTACAGTAGATGTGAATGTTTTTTCATTTTCTGTTGAACAACAAATTGCTCAAAGTGCATTGGCTTAAATCCACTCATTAGTCTAAAGTAGTATAGACTGATTGTATCTATTTAGTAAATTAGCATTGATGAAAGTTCCATTGTTTCAGTGGGTCTGCTGTATTTGGGATAACAATTGCATTTGAGGCACTGTTTGAATTAATAAATATGTTATATTTACCTGTTGTATAGATAATTGCTGAGGTGGAGTGTGGCAGACATTAGTGTAACACATAGAAAGCGTGATCAGGTCTTTAAAAAACCTGACAAACTCAGGCCTGAGAAATAATTAATCGTACCAAATGACCTAGAATGAACAGATGTAAGAATGTAAGAAGAGCCCTGCTGGATCAGATAAAAGGCTTATCTAGTCCATCATTTTGTTCTCTCAGCAGCCAGCCAGATGCCTGTGGAAAATGCACAGCAGGACATCTGTGAAAATTTTACTCTTGTTCATGTCTTCCCATTAATTGATATTCAAGGGGCATGGTGTCCCTTGAAGATTCTGGACATGTATGTATATAGAGAGCCTGTATAACTGGTAGCCTTTGATACCATGAAGTCATCACTTTTTAAAAGCTGCCCTAAGTTAGTGACCATCCCAATATGATAGTGAAAAATAGTATATGCTTCTTGGAGCAAGGTTTATAGGGCTTTTTGTGTGATGTGTAAAGAAATACTTCCTTTAATTTCTCTTGAATAGTCCAGATAATTATTCCTGATTTAGAAATTTGATGTGCAAACTGATGCTAGTAGTTTTCCAGGTTCCTTCAGCTATCCAACCTGACCTTCCTTTACAATTTAGCACCCAGATTGAAATGATCAGATTACAGCTCCTCTGTGCTCTGAGTTCCATAACTTGTTCTTTTTCAAGAAAGCCCCTTCAACCCAAGCCCCAGGAGAGCCTTTTAAATGCTTCCCTTCCTGGCAACCTTTTCTTCTGAAGTCTGATGGTTTCTCAGCCATTTGATTTTGGCTTTTTTATTCCCAGGATATGATTTTTTCATCAAAATCCATCACTGTTTCTTCCTTTAATTTTTCAGTCGCTTTCAAATGCTAACTGTAATCTTTGTCTTTGAGCCCTCCAAGTCTGCTTTGCATTCCCCTATAGCTATCCATTTTTTTCCATGACACAGATCTGTCTTTGCAACTTAAACCTCTTCTTCTTTCAAATTTTTTTTGTGTTCCTGCCATTTAATTCAGAAGTGTGTTAGCTTTGTGTCCAGCCTTGGCTCCCTCTGTTCTTGTGCAGTCGCTCTTTTGTATTGAGGGGGCATTGATGTGGTCAGTTTTACTTAGAGACTCACTTATTAATATTTCTTCCCCTTTTTTGATGGCTTCTCCATATTTTCCTACTTTTCACAGCAAGCCATGTTCTGGAAGTTTGACCTCCACACGACCTCTCATATTGACACCCTTTTGGAGCGTGGCAACGTGACCCTCTTTGAGCTTCTGGATGAGGAGGATGTGCTGCAGGAGTGCAAGGTGGTCAACCGCAAGCTGGTGGACTTCCTGGTGCAGCCCCAACACATGGAAGCGCTGGTCACCTGCGTGACAGAGGAGCCTCCTGGAGATGTGGATGAGAGAGTGCGCTACAAGTAAGTAATGAATATGAAATCTGGAGAGCATGCAAAGTTTTTTTGTTTAAAAAAAATTAAAAATCCTGTCCTAAAAATCCTAAAAATGAGAATTAACGAGAATTGAAAAAATTAAAGAGACCCCACCATCTTCCTTTTAGTAGTTGGGCTAATGTCATGTTTTACAAGGTCGCATACATGGTTGGAGTATTACACATTTTAAAACCTTAGGGCAGTGGCTTAATTCAGGCATGTTGCTTTGTTTAATGCGATATCTATATTGATAAATTGGAATCTGGAGTCATGGTTTTCATTAATTGTGATTAGGTATAATATTTGAATTACCAAACTTCAGTTAAGTTATTGTTCCAGTTCAAAGCTTATTAAATGCAGAAACATGAACTCTGAGTCGATGGAAAATGTGGAGGTTTTGCATGGTTTAAAATGCTGAAAACATGCCTCAGTCTCATGTACTTGCTCTTATATTGGAATCCAGGTTTGATTGAAACCACTTCCTGTTTCAGGAATGAAAGTTTACACTGGTTTCAGTACTAAAAGTGATGCATGAGGGTGAAGCAATAGGAAAAGGAGGAAGATACAGCTATGATAACCATTCCCCATTTTCTTATGCCATGGATTACAAGTTTGAGAATTCTTCCCTCATATTGGTTAAGAGCCATCTCTTAATTATTTTATATATGGCATACTTTGAAAATTAATGAAATGTTTTGGTGACATACTAAAAACTTGTGTGTGAACTGACTGAAAACCTAGAACATGCAACCATCCAGCACCCAACCATTTCAGTGTACAGAGCATGGGATGGGGTCTGGGTCCCATTTTCTAAGCTCCAGGATCCTTTGGTTTGCAAAATTGTTTAGCAAAATTGAGTTTCTTATTTAAAGTTATAAGGCAGATATCTTGTTTTCCAAATGAATGGCACCCTGAGGATAAAAAATAGTTGTGTTATTTCTAATATCGGGTAAAATCAGTTTGGGAGTGCCAAAGCAACATAAATGGCCTTGAGAGACACATGTGGCCTATGTTCCACCCAATGCATACCTCTGCAGCAAGGAGTAAATGCCACAGTGGTCTTATAAAGCTCATTATGTTCTGTCTATGGTCAAAATAAATTATTAAATTAATTATGAATGAATGTACACAATTAATGTGTGGGAAGAGAATATTCTGTACAGTGTTGAAATCTACTTTAATGTGCACATCAAAATCAAGTAGAGTTTGGTAATGAGGAACGCAGACACTAAAAGAAATCAACTGAATATTCAATCAGTCAAGTATAAGTAACATTAAATTAAACAGTTTTCTGACACTTTAGCTGTGATCGTTGAACAAACAACAGCATAAATCTTGCAATTTCTGACTGAAATTCAGGCTTTTTCTTTGGCAATTTTCCCAAGATGGAAGTTCAGCACACTGTAATCTTTCTCTCCAAAAGCTGTGCATAGTATTAAAATGTTCTCAGGCAATCCTGGAGATAATTAAACTGGAACTCTGTGTACTAAATTTGGTAGGTGTGCCATTAAGCAATCAGCAAATAAAAAACAAAGCATTTTATGCAAACGATCATTGAAGTTTATAAAGCAGCAAAGTATAACAAAAAAAATTATTATTATTTGGTTATACACAGTTCCTTCTGATTTCTGTTATTAAAAGTTATTTCTATCGCAAATCACTTGCTGCCTGGGAAAGACACAGTAACATGATTAAGAAAGTAACTCATTTCATGTCACATCCCTAAATTTGTCATTGTCTTGAGATAATCCTAGTATAATAGTTCATTTCTTAAATTTCTGTAACATAGAACTTGTCCGTTATGGTACTTGGAGATTTGCAATTTGGTGGTGCATTGGCCATATTGGGAAGCAGAATCTCAGGTGCCATGGAACAGAAGGTGTGAGTCCCTATCTTTTGTAGCAGTAAAATTTTCTTCCATTGAGCTCATGGCTTTTTCCCTCTGGACGTTATCCTCATATCATTGGGATAGTTCAGGGAAAGAGAGTGATTGTCCCATAGTCGTAAAACTATGTGGTTAAAGCATGCCGCAACCTCAGTGCCAAAATAGGTTACCATCCAGTGGTCAGTTGGCAAGGATTCAATGCCATACATAATTGTAAGAAGTAGAATAAATTGTGCAGAATGTGTAATAAACAAACCTTATAAAAGTTACATGATTTGAAAGGGTTTGGCTTTTCATCAGATGGAATTTATATTTACTTCCTTGAAGAATTGTAGATCACCCAACCCAAACGTGTTATGTGTCTTTTGTACTAGAGATTCCTGAATATTTAGCAACACAGTTGAGCAATGCAGGGCTGAGCTGTCCTTTTCATCTGCACAGCCATCACTCAAAGGTTAGAGGCTGGCAGAGGTATCCATGCACCAGGATTTGATGTGGCGGCACACTTTTTAAAAAGACTTATCTCCTGTAGGTACCCAAGTGTGTCATGTGAGATCCTGACATCAGATGTCACGCAGATAAACGACGCATTGGGTGAGGATGAGTCTCTCCTGAGGCGCCTGTACAGCTTTCTTCAGACTGGTGGTATCCTCAACCCACTGCTGGCCAGCTTCTTCAGCAAAGTCATGGGAATTCTTATCAATCGCAAGACTGATCAGGTGATATCTCACACGCTCTGGCTTGCCACTATTACTTGTTCTCTCAGCTGGGGTTTAAATGATTTTATGTGACTAAAAGAAGTTCTGTCACAATGCTCTCTTATATTCTTGTATTTTGAGTTATTGGCACAGTTTGGAATGTTTGGAAAGTACGCTCATAATAAATATGTGATTGATATCTTTTTACCAGTGCACCCTCATGTGGTAGCACTTGGTATATCCATAATGAAGAAGGCAATTGGTTTCTGAGCAGTTTCCTCTGAACTCCTTACATTGTAAATTGCAGCTGTTTCTATAAAAGAATGCACTTGTGAATAGCTTGAGGGGGTATATTTTACCATGTGAAAGTGTTATGGTCAAATGCATTCATGGTGGTTTTGAATCATATAAAAATGGCCCAAGACAAACCTATAGCATTTGATTGATAAGTTTTATTCAGAGGCTTTTGCATTCCTCAGAGGCTGAGAGAATGTGACTTGCTCAAGGTGAACCAGTGGGTTTCTATGAGCAAGTAGGGATTTGAATCCTTGTCTCCAGAATCATAGTCCAACATCCTGGCTTCAACACTGGCTCTTAAATGTCCAGTATAGCTCATGCATATTCAAAGACCCTCGTGCAACATTTGTCAATTAACTGAAAGCCCTTCCACACAGCCCTATATCCCAGAATATCAAGGCAGAAAATCCCACATTATCTGTGTGTGTACTCAGACAACCCTGTTCAAAGCAGATATTGTGGGATTTTTTGCCTTGATATTCTGGGATAAAGGGTTGTGTGGAAGGGCCCTTTGTTGCAATATACCTCTCTTTGAATTAGCAAACTTCAGTTAAGTTATTATTCCAGCTCAAAACTTTTAAATGCAGAAATGAGGCATTCCACAGTTTGATTCTTGTATGGTCAATAGGACAGCACACCTCAGCCATTTCCAGAGAGGGTCTTGTATTTTCCTTTGCCTATTTCTTTTCCACTAACATGTTTGGCTGTCTTCCAGATAGTTGCCTTCCTGCGGAAGAAGGATGACTTTGTCAATCTGCTGCTATGCCACATCGGTACCTCAGCCATCATGGACCTCCTGTTGCGCCTCCTCACCTGTGTGGAGCAGCCACAGCTCAGGCAAGATGTATTCAATGTAAGAGCCCTGTTAGTATGTACTCCTGTCTGTCTTCCTCTTCCTTGAAAGAAGAGAAAGCATCACTGTGTTAGAGGCTTGGTGAATGCTAGCTTTTTAAGTATGTTGTCTAGAAGTGAAAATTAAGTGATTTTGAAGAATACGTTCATTCATTGCTTATAATGTTCCTGATTGGAAATCTTGTGATCTCTATGTCTCTGTGGGTTTTGCTTTATGTATCTTAATATGTTGTTCTAGAAATTAGCTATAAGTGGGGTGCTTGTGATCTAAAATGCACATTTTTACAGTACTTAATCCATGTTTCCTTACCAAGCTCCTGGAAATCTCTTCAAGTGCTGTCCTTCTAAAAGAATTCCCCATGTTCCCATTAGGCTATTTGACTCTTTACGGATTTTCTCATTGTTTGGGGGGCTTTATGAAAATATTCCTGTTCCATAGAACTGCCATCCCTAGGTCCACACCACACTGTGCAGCTGGTGGTTCCCTCTCGACACCTTGCCTTTTGGATATTCTTATCTTATGTGTTGTACTTCTTTCTGCAGTATGTCTTCATTTATTTGCTTGGGACATATGTGTCTCACTGTATCCGCTTTTCTAAGTATTTTCCCTCGAAGGATTTCATTATGAGGACTTCTTTGTCCAGAATTGTAAGACATCTGTCAGTAAAGATATTGGTATGGCTGTGACTCTGAGTTCAGCACTGTGGGATGTTTTGGGGGCCCTGTTTGCATGCACACATGATTTTAACCCTGAGCACTTTGCAGTAGTAAATGGAACAGGGATGTCTTCATAATGAAAGGTACTTGCTTAACTTTTACATCCTTTTTCTTGTTTCCCCCCTGTAATATAAAGTGGCTTAATGAGGAGAAAATTGTGCAGAGGCTCATTGGGATGATCCACCCTTCAAAAGATGACAATGTAAGTAGCAAATGTTCTTCAGCAGTTATTTCCCCTATTCCAGTGTTTTCCAACCTTTTTTTGACCAGGGACCACTTTGACCAGGGACCATTCTCCAACATTACTATCAAAAGGGTTACGAATCAGTTTTTGGTCAACTTTAGATTCGGTTTGGTTATTTGGGGTGCTGATTCAGAAAATTGCATTACGTAGACCACATCAGGTCTAGTTTCTGATACAGAACATATGCCATTCAGTAGCCGCTATTTGCTCACCCACAGAAAACCATATTTAATAAGCCTCGGCACTATAAGAGTTTCTTGAGACCAGTTGTTCTTGTTGCAATGGTGTAGTAATGGTGAGGCCGCAGACCATATTTTAGTTTTTCCGGACCACTGATGGTCTATGGACTACAGGTTGGGAACCACTACCCTATGCAGAAAATGTGTCATATGTTTATGGAGATGTGTCATATGTTTATGGAGTGGTAAGGGGAGTCAGCGTTTAGGCCTCAGATTTCACAAACCTTAGGAGTTAGTGGGCTGCATTCCTGCCATCATCTGATTTTGGAAGACCTATTTGCCACTGTCCTTGACAGTTGTTTTTTTTTTAAAATGTTGCCAAATTGCCCTCAAGAGATACATGGGTGCAATTTTCACATATATTTGATAGCTAAAGAAGGTCCAAAAGCAGCAGAGTCTTTGACAGCGCCAGGAAGGCCCTAAATGTGCTTCTTTGGGGTGTCACAAACATTTGAGGTTTCTAGGGTGCCAGAAAAAGATCTTGGAGGAGAGGGTGCCCTTTCCCCATATCTGTCATAGGATTTATTTCTGTTGACTGATCACAACATGTATGATTGTGAAACTGTGAAATGGAAACATGTATGATTGTTAAAATGTTAAGTGATGACTGAAATATGGACTTCTCTGTGTGGCAAGCTGCTGCTGTCTCTGGAATTGACATTTTAGTGCTCCTTTTGCTCTTTGCTTTGGTCCCCCTCCATACAGCAACATTCCAACGCTTCACAGTCCTTGTGTGATATCATCCGTCTGAGCCGTGAGCAAATGATTCAAATCCAGGACAGTCCCGAACCAGACCAGCTTCTGGCTACTCTTGAGAAGTAAGTGCCATTCCTGATGACACCATTTGCATAAATGGGTACTCCTGCTTTTAACATCAAAATAGTGTCAACAGCTGAAATAGTTTTGACAAAACCCCAGCAATATATGTCTGCTTAGTGTGGAGTGCTTATTCGTTTGTGTTTTTTTAAACTGAATAAACAGGAATTGTGTGATGGGCTTTGAACTTATCATCATTTTGAACTTTCTGTGGGACTCTCTTCCGTCTGTTGGAACTTAGCGTACTTCTTTATGATGCTTTTGCAGTTGGACACATTGGAACTGTGTACAGCAGCATCTTGAAAGTAACTTGCAGCCTCTGTCCTTGAGAGGAGTCACTTTGCCTTGTGCATGCTCCAGGAAAGGGTCTGGGTGATTTCTCCTGGTTCTCTTCATCTGCCACATAATCAGCTTGATGGGAAACCTTTGGACTGTAGATGGGGACCTTGTTGTCCTGTAGATGATGAATTAGAAGCCTGATCTCTCACTTTTGGCTAGTCTTCCCGGGGCCGATGGAAATTGGAGTCCAGTGACATCTAGAGGGTCAAAAGTTCTCCAGCTCTGTTTTGTTGCTTCTGGAAAAGTTCCTTTGTTTTACTCTTCAATTTAATTTAAACTCAGTCTTGGTAATTTTTTACCCTCTCTTTTTCTCTCTGTCTGCTATCTGCCTGTGGGGCATCAGGGATCGATGCCAACACAGACTCACCATTTTAGAGCATGTGTGCATGTGCCTTCAAGTCACATGAGTTTCATAGGGTTTTCTTTGGTATGTGTTTTGCCAGTTTCTTCCTCTGAAATATACCTTGCAACACCAGGTATTTGTTCTCCTATCTAAGTATTAATAGGACTTATTCAGCTTAGCTTTTAAGACCAGACAGGATCTGATGCCTTTAGGATGTGACTGTTTAATAATCACTTTCAATCCCACTCATTTGTGTGCAGGCAGGAGACTATTGAGCAGCTGCTAAGCAATATGCTGGATGGAGAACAGAGTGAATCTGTCATTGTCAATGGGATCCAGGTCTTGCTGACTCTGTTGGAACCACGCAGACCCAGGTGTGTGGGGGAGATAGGGAGGGTCTAACATGCAAAGTATGTGCTCTGCTGCGGTAATGTGTTGTGCTTGCAGTAGTGTTGCGTTTTGTGGTGGTTTTGATCAGCTCACAAGAACTGTCCTGAACATGAAAACCTCTGAGTGTTGATTTTATTTTTTCCCCCTAATCTTGCTTGCATTTTTGTCGTACCCTTTGTTTATTATATTGGACTGAATATTTTCTTTTCGTTTTCTCATATACATTTGTATCCATTTTCTGTACCCACTTTCCCTAATATTATTTGTTTTTGTACACATTTTCCCATTCACAAAATGTATTCTTGCAGATTTTTCAGTAATATGTATTTTCAAAAGTATGTATGAGTTTTTATATGTATGTATTGCCCCAGAATGTGTCAGGAGCTTCATAAATATTTGAATTTCTCATGCGAGACGTGTTTTGTCCTATGAGATATAAAAGGGATCTTCTTTTGTCAATTTCAACATCCAACAAAATACTTTTTCATTCCTGCATGCAGAGAATTGTAAAATCTCTGGTAACTGGAGAGGGGCTACAATGGGGTCACAGAATTTAGTTCACAGTGTTCTACTTCTTTGCAGTGCTCTAATTCTTAGCGACCTTTCCCCTACATCCTTTTGCACTTTTGACATCCCTGTTTTAGTGGTTAGAGCAAACAAAACCTTCAGAATTAAATTTGTTCCAACACTACGAATTTGAAAAGCAAAGTGGGTTATGTCACAAAAAGAGAGAGAGTTTCAAAGGCATAGAACATCGAATATAATTAACTGTATTTGCATAATTTATTCAACGGTTTGAGTTGCCCTATCGTTGTATCTAGATATCTTAGGAGTCTTCTTTTGGTCTGCACTGCCATAGCTCATTATTTCTATTAACATTGTTTTTCCTTACTCTCCCTTGCAGGACAGAGCTGGGCGGCATGGGAGGCTTTTACTGTAACATGGAGGGGCAGATGGAGATGTCTGGCCCCAACTGTGAAGTGGCTTCTAGCCAGGCAAGTCAGGGCACTCTGCTCGCTATCAAACAACGTCTCAGGGAGCTTCACCGGCTGCTCCTTGACCCACCAAAGGTTTGTATGTATTAACTTATATTGGGCATGACATAAGTGGGTGGCCTGTGAGGGCACATCTGAAGTTAAAGAATTCTTGGGGTGAAAGACACCCTCAAAACAGTTTCATGGGACAAGTGGGGAGCCTTTTATCTTTGAGATGTTTTGGAACATGCATAGGATTTTTGTAGAGGTTGTTGCCTAAAGCAGGGCTTCTTACACTTTTCTACTCGAAACCTCTTTTGGCCCCAGATATATATGTATATAAAATAGGTTTAGAAATCAAATATGAACTGATAATCAGCACTTGAAGGCATACTAAATAGACTGAATTTCCTTTTTATGAAGTACAGCTGAGGAATCTTCTGCAGAGTCCACTGCAAAAAATATTTATGCAAATGTCTAAAACAGCCACTAGTTGATGTTCAGAAAACCTTTCCTATTGCTATTTTTGGGACCCCAATATTGAGCTAAGGGGATCCCATTTGGGGTCGGTATCCACAATTTAAGAAGCAGTGGTCTAAAGCAGTATTTCTCAAACTGTGCTTCTTCATATGTTTTAAGAAGCAGTGGTCTAAAGCAGTGTTTCTCAAACTGTGCTTCTTCACTATGATTGGGATTATGTGGGTTTCTTCTACAGTCAGGATGATGAAACTCTGGACCTCCAGATTCTTTAGACCAGTGTTTCTCAAATTGTGCTTCTCCAGATGTTTTGGACTTCAGCTCCCAGAAATCCCAGCCAGCTTACTTTTCAAAATTGTGGGAGCTGAAGTCCAAAACATCTGGAGGAGCACAATTTGAGAAACACTGGTCTAAAGAATCTGGAGGTCCAGAGTTTCATCATCCTGACTGTAGAAGAAACCCACATAATCCCACCCATGTGACAGCCACAAGTGAAGAGTTTTTGTTTTAAATATGTTTATACTTGAGAGGAGTTGTTTCAGAAGTAAGCGCACCTCATTCAATAGCTGTGTTGTGGTGATTGTTGTTTGTCAAGAAAAAAGGTGGAATCAGGGTACCCATGGAGGTGTAGAAAAATGGAGTGTGGTGTATTAATATTTCCCATCATCTTGGTACATTCTGAATAAAAGCAATGAAAACGTTTCACAGTGTAGTTCCTTATTGAGCTTATCAGTAAAATGTATGGGGTAAATTAGCTATCTGAGGTTGTTTAGCTACTGAGGTGGAATAAAAGACACAGCAAAAAATAGTTTCTGTATTTCATCCTCTTTTACAGAAAGACCCCCTGCAGACAACATGGGGAATCTTGGACCCTCCGTTAGGAAACACACGTCTCCATGTTGTGAAGCTGCTGGCCAGCTCACTGGGTACCAACAATGCAGCCCTGCAGAATGAAATTATAGAGCTTGGTGCCCTTGACACAATGTTGGTGAGTACAATCCTGTTGTGGAACTCTGCCCCTGAGCGTGGTGGCGGCTCCTTCTTTGGAGACTTAAGCAGAGGCTGGATGGCCATCTGCCAGGGGTGCTTTGAATGCGATTTTCCTTCTTCTTGGCATGGGGTTGGACTGGATGGCCCACAAGGTCTCTTTCAACTCTATGATTCTGTGTATCCATCAGCAGCTGATTCAAATTGAGTTCTTGATTTGTGGGAGATTTGCTTACTTGCGTCTAAGGATTTCTCTGGAAAGACATATACCTTTTTAGAATCATGACACATTTGCGAGTATCTTTGTTGTATTGTCGAAGGCTTTTATGGCCGGAATCACTGGGTTGTTGTAGGTTTTTCCGGGCTATATGGCCATGTTCTAGAGGCATTCTAGAACATGTTGTAGAGTGTCTTTATTGTTTTGACATAGGGCAAAACCTGTTCAGAATATATAATCCTGAAAGTATTTACTTCTTAATCAATAACAAAGCTTATCTTTTTTAAAAATTGAATTTACAGAAAATCAGTTGGAAAGATATTAGGGCTGTCACTTGGTAAAGAAGGTTCTTCTTCGTGGTCTCTGTGAAATTGCACATATGAGTCGTGTGCTCAGGTGCAAGACAACTCGGAACTCTTTATAGCTGTGGTTCCCAACCTGCGTTCCTCAGACCACTAGTGGTCCATGAGAACAAAAATCTGGTCCACGAACCTCCTTCCTCTTTAGCTTTAAGAAACTCTTGTTGGTAGCCCCTCCCACCCTGCCCTGGAGGATGTAGCTGTCAGGTGGGGCTAGCACTTCATTTCCTTTTTGTCTGCAGTGTTAGCAGTAGCAAGGAATTTCTCTTAGATACGTAATCTTATTAAGTGTTTGAGTCTCCTGCCTACTGCAGTTTTCTTTTCATATTGACCTTCTGTTGGTTAAAGGCCCATGTCTCCCTTCAGCCTCAGTACCAGCGTCATCAAGCCAGATAGATAACCTCTCCCGCATAGACCTCTCAAGCCAATTCCATAGTAGTGGATGTCTCTCAGTCTCTGTATTCACAGAGCATTCAAGCTACTTCATTTAAAATTTGACAGTGAAGGGAATAAATTGAAGGCTATGAGGCATAAGGTTTATTCCTCAGCAGGTTTTTTTTGCAGGGTAGCCCACTATGGACATATATGGGGCCATACCAGATCTTTCTCCAGAATAATGTCACCCCATTGTGATCTGGGTAACTTGAGTTTGCCCCGCTGTTATAGGCTTCTAGTAGGCCTGGGTAACAACGGAAAAATTTGTTTCTAAAATCGATTCGTTTTTTTTGGGGTTTTTTGCATTTCGTTATTTAAAATAATTACAAAATTTTCCTTTTAAAAAGTTCGATATTTACGAAATTTCGTAAATGTGAAAAAAATTACAAAACATTAACAATCGATTTCCGAAACAATAACGAATCGATTCGTTAATGGCGGACGCGACCGCGAAATACGCTAAAAAACCTCCAAAACTTCTGAAGCTTCCCTCTCCCTCTGTTGTTGACTGTTGGTGTGATATTATAATTTTTTTTCACTAATTAAACAAAAAACAACCATAAAACTTGCCCCAGACATGCGGAAATAATAACGAAACGACCTCAAAACAATAACGAAACGAATACAATAACGAAATACGAAGCATTTGCAAAACTATTTAAAAATTCGTTTTTTAAAAAAATTGCTCCAGAATGGTTCGTTATCGTTTTGTAATTGAAAAAATTAACGAATTATTAACGAATTACGAATTAACGAAACGAAACCGCCCAGCCCTAGCTTCTAGCAATAAGTTCCACTGCTTCAGGTACAGATGGGAACTTCTGACTTGCCAGGCTGGGCGGATCCTTCACATTCTGACCCTCCGACTCATGGCAGGGAGACTTCAGCCACTTTGAGCTTCTCATTGTCCATAGCATTTATAATCACTGCCACTAAAGAAAACAAGAACTCCACAAAGTGATTTAACGCCTACAACTGGAGACATTTTCTTCCTTCTAACAGAAGGCCGGTGTTGATCCTTTCACAGCACCCATGCCCGTAGTCCTTGATGTTTTGCTCTCACTATCAGAACAATGACTCTCCTTTCCCTCCTTGAAATGTTATCTCGCTGTCATCTCTTGGTACAGGTGGAGAGCACGGCATTTGTCCTATTTTTGGCACCCCCTCATTCAACTCTTCCCGGAGGGCTTAAGACCATTGACCCGCCAGTGCATCCTCAAACCCCACCATGGAGTTTGGAGCTCATCTTGTCCCAAGTGTTGAAACCCCCTTTTGAGCCCATGGCATCAGCAGCTTTCCCGCCTTTCCTGGAAAACAGCATTCTTTGCTGCTATCACATCAGCATGCTGAACCAGTGAGCTTTGTGCTCTCTATGCAGATTACCTTTGTTTCCATAGGATAAGGTGGTTCTCTGAACTGATATTACCCTTCTAGCCAAGGTGATTTCCCAGTTTCATATGTGTCAGGACATTGTGTTACTTGCTTTTTTCCCAGAATCTTACTTCTCTGGAGCACTCCCTCCATACTTTGGATGTGCAGCAGGCTGTAGCCTGCCTACAGGAAATTTCCTAGGGTTTTTTCTCTGACTTCTCACCAGGGCGATTCAGTCTCTTCACAGCATTTTTCCTTTTTGATCATTTCAACAATCTGGCTGGTTTGTCAACTTGCAGACAGACCCCTTTCATCCCAAATCAGGGGTTATTCAGCAACAGCCATTGCTACCTTTCAGGTCTTCCTACATGGAGTGTACCTGAAGATGTTTTGCTTAGCATCAACATGGCCGACCCCACTCATTTTTGTGTCCCACTGCAAGCTGGATTATTTCTCCAGGAGGGATTCTACCTTTGGCAGAGCTGTGCTTGTTTCCTCTGGGACACGACTCCCTCCTCCAAGATGGGAAGCTCATTAGTCACCCATATGTGTGATTTCACAGAGACCACAAAGAAAAAGGTTAGATTATTCATCAGTAATCATGTTTCTTCAAATGGTCATCTGTGAAATTCGCACATCCCTGCCCATCCTCCTCGCTTTTCGTCATGCCTCAGTTTCTGTAAGCTGCTGTCATAGTGACCAAGGAACTGAGGTGCTAGCCCCACCTGATGGCTATATCCTCCTGGGCAGGGTGGACGGGGTTTCTTAAAGCTATAGCTGTCTTGCATCTGTGCACAAGACCCATATGTGCAAATTTCACAGATGACCACTCAAAGAGACATGATTACAGGGAAGCAACCCAACCTTGTTGGAGTTTGCGTCAAGTGACTATATCAACTTGAATTTACAATGGAAAAAGCAGTAAAGGGATAAAAGAAAATGTTGACTGAATATGTGGTAACAGATATTGTTTTAGAAAATGTATTCTGCCTTTCTTCTCCCTCCTTCTGCAATTAATTCTTCATTTACAGTGGCTTTTATCACCTGTAGATTTTATAATACATTCAGAAGTTTGAAAAATCTGCTGCACAGTCTGGATTAGCAGAATGTTCGAATTAATTTAAGTTTGTGTTTGCCTAAATATAATTTTAAAAAATAGTGAGTTAAAAAAACCCACACAAGATAATATCCAAGAAGATGGAATGGAAGTCAACCCTTTTTTTTTGTTATTTTCACCCTTTTGTATTTTTTGCTATTTTTTTTGTATTTTTTATGTTTAGTATAATTTGGTGTTGTTCCTTCCTTTTTTATACGCTTCTACTTTCCTTCTCTTTCTCTTTATTGCTATTGTTCTCACTCTTTTGTTGTATTATGTAAAACTTAATAAAATTCTCTTTTAAAAAAAAAGACCACACAAGCATATTTATTGTCAGCAGAGAGCACCAAAAGATGGTTTGCTGTTGATTTGGAAGGCTGCAAACCGTTGTGGAGTGTGAACCCAGCTATTGCATCAGTTTACTGATGGTGGTCTACTTTTGTCTTTCATTCACAGGACCTTTACTTCAAGTACACGTACAACAATTTCTTACATGCTCAGGTGGAGGCATGCCTTAGCAGTGTCTTCAGCTCCCATGCTGTGGATGAGACCATTGAAAACCATGCTGATTCCCTCCCAGAGAACCCTGTCATCCAACATGTAGGTTTCACGCTTTGAATTGGATGTGCGTGATTTCAGGCTATTTCTGTGCTGCTGGGGTATTGGATTGCTGAAGATAGGAGCAATCGATTGCCTTTTTTTCCAAAATAAGGACCCACATATTAAAAGTGAAAGGATGAAAAATTGTGGCTTGCATGGTTTGAGGAGCTGGGAAGTGTAACTGTACAATATGTGAGGGAAGTTCCAAGCAGGGAAAGGAGTGAATGTCTCTGCTATCCTGACTCATTACTAATCTACAAACTACTATATCAGTGGTTTCCTATATTAAATACAGTTCTGCCACTTGGCCTTCCATCCAGACCTTGTGCAGTTGAACAGAAACCACCCTTTGCCTGTTTGTATTTCCTTATAACCATAATGGTTAGAAACTTCTAAAACCTTTAAGACCTTTAAGGCTCTGACCTTAAATTGGAATCCATCCTACTCAGATTCAAGCACTGCTTTCCATCCTACTTGCATTCTTTTCATACATGACTGCTGTCTGCTCTTCTTCATAGTTGCTGCAGAAGTGTCGCTTAATCCAAAGAATCTTGTCTGCCTGGGAAGAAAATGAACGATCACAGTGAGTATTTAATTGAGAAGATTGGTGTGGTGTAGTTAGTTGGCTCCCTTTCTTCCTCTTCTATTCCATTAAAAAAGCTAATAATTCTGAGCACCCTCAGAGGTAAACAAAGGTTACTGAGAGCCCAGACTCTTCATTTCTGTAACCCAAGTCAAGCAAGAAACGTGTATTATAATGCCATGAGACATACTTTTGGTGGCACTACCTCACTCTTTTCTCTGTCCTCTTCTTTTCCTGAACTTCCTCTTTTATGTGACCTTTCTCCTCAGGCTCTGGTAATGATCACGTGCTGTTTCTGCTTCAGTATGATATTTATCTGGCTATTTCCATTTCTTTACTCCAGGGATGGGAAACTGCAAATGAAGTGTATCCCATTTTTCACAATATGCCCTTGCATCAAGTTGCACTGGAATGTCAGAAACCCCAGTCAGGGATAATAGAAAAAGATCTGCTTTATGAAGTGAATTAAAACTTTTAGTTTTGTGGGAAGTGACCATCTCTCAAGAATAGACTCTTTTTTTCTATCCTTTATGAACAATGCATTAATTCCTAGATTGGACTGACAAAACTCCATATGCGCCCTAAGATCTCCCTTTCTCTTGTCATTCCACCTGTTCCTTTCTTTATATACAAAGATGTATTCATAGCAGTCAGCAGCCTCCATTCTCTTTCTTTCTTCTCTTGCAGATTGGATGGGGGCAGGCGCAAGGGCTATATGGGACATCTCACCCGCATTGCCAATGCTTTAGCACAAGGGTCGGAAAAGTGGCCGCACTCTACTCTAGTCAAGCAGCTATTGAAAGGTAAGCATCCTGGCAGCTGCAAGGGGGTTAGTGAGCCAGATGCTATACACAAGATCAGGTTTGCTAGGAAGTAAGAAAGGAAGATTCTTTGATAGAAAGGCCATAAAAAGTCAGGCAAGTGATGCTTAATATGTGACCATTACAATTCCAGAAATGGCCTTTAAAATTCCAGAAAACATTGTCCAAAAGTGATGTCACTTCCAGTCTGGCAAAATTGATTCTGTGTCCAGTCCTCTGAAGTTGTCCAGCAGAGTCAAAAATGGCTGCAGGCACAGCCTTGTGAGTTCCATCCAATGTGTTGCCTCCCTTATGCTAAATGAATAAGTCTGACCTTTTCAAATTTGGGAACTTTAAATTCTTGCATATGGTTGGAAACTTTTTTACCTTATATTTATCTTGGCGATGAGCTCAGAGCAGCATATATGATGGCTCGCATCTAATTGTTCTAAGTTTTGCTGTGAGGTAAGTTAGACTGAAATATAATCACTGTTCCAGGGTCAGCTAGCAAGGTTCATATCTGAATGCAAAGTAGAACCTGAATCCTCCAACCTAATCATCCTCAAACTGGGCTCATCACAGCCACAGTCTGACGTCGTCTGCTAATTGATTATTTAAGATTTCAGCACAGCATACCAAGAGAACCCGATAACTTGCTAGGGAGACATCCAATGCCTGTAACTTGCTGGAGAAGCATTCGTTTTTTCCATTATTCCTAATCAGCAGGTAGTAGTACTTTGCAAGTGCTTCTTCTCCTTGTTTTTTATAAAATGTATAGACTGTTTTAAAAGGGATTAGACAAGCCCTAAAGGAGACTTCTGAATGAAATTTGTAATCTCCATATTCAGTGGCCCTGTGTCAAAGACTAGTAGTTGGTGGCATGGACTTTCATGTTTTTTTTTTAACCATCTCATAGCATCATTTCAAATTTTTACTCCAGGAGAGGAGAGTTCTCAGTGGCTTCTGCAGTTGTTGTGCATTGCCCATTCTGATTGACTTTGTACTATTCACTTAGACCTCCATTTCCAACTCACATTTTATGCTTTTCAGAATTACCTGAGGAAGAACAAGAGCAATGGGAGAAGTTTGTGTCAGGGCCCTTGTCAGAAACAAACAAGAAGAACACCGTGGATCTTGTGAGACTCCTGTTTTTCCTAATTCTGTTTTACTGTTCCAGCCTTACTTGTGTATCAATAGTTAGAAAATATGCTTTCAGAGGAGAGAGCACACCCTCACCCTTTTTTTGTGCTCACAGGACATCTCCCTTTTAATTTTACACTCCATGGCTAGCATCCCGTTAGTGACAGACATATTTAGGAATAAGCTGTATGTACTTCACGTGTAGAGTGACATTTGTAGACAGTGTGGTATAGTCATATCTGACTGATGGTGGCATGGGCTGTTTTCTTCATATGATGCTATTCTTTGTAGTAAAATAATAGTTGTACTGTTTACAATAACAGGGTTTCCACAACACAAATAAAGTCCTTTCTGCTTCCTTCTGTGCTTCCATGCTGGGCTTCTTCCTCATATGGACAAACAGCTCTCTCAGAGCCTTCTCTCACAACAAACTTATACTGGAGCTTCACACAGTAGCTTTTACATGCACAGCCTTTATACTGGAGCTTTAAACACCAGGCTTTACACATGAGGCCTTCAACTTTGAACTTCTCTCATCAAAACTTTTCACACAAGGCCTTCTCACATGGCCTTCTCATAGACTAAGGCCTACCTCACACTGTGAGGCTTACCTCACACAGAGGTTTCTCTCACAGACTAAGGCCTACATCACACTGTAAGGTTTTCTCTCTGAGAGATCTTTCTCCCACTGAGGTTTACCTCAGAGTGACAGTTACTAAGCCACAGGCACACCTGCTTATATAGAACTGCAGTTTTTGCTGAGCCATTGCATCCATTTAACCCTTTCAGTGCTTGACTCACATTTGTGTAATTAAAAATACCTAGTTAATATGTAATATTTCTTACATGTTTCAACCAAAACATTCACCAAAATGGAGAGATTTATGCCAGTGGGACTCAATGTTTTACCAGCATCTTTGTGAAAACAAGTTTTTATGGGGTTAGGGTTAGGATTAGGGTCAGGTTAATGAAAGCGAGAGCAGAATGGGGAGGAGAAATAGGAGTTCACATGGCCATTTTTATGAGCTTGATAACTCTTACAGGAGCTGTGGAATTGACCTTTAGGGCAGCCTTTCCCAGCTGAAGATCTCGATAGGCAACATTTCTGGAGGGATCCAAGTTGAAGAAAGCAAGAATAGAGAATAGGTGGTATTAGCTTTAATCTTGTGGTGTTCCACTCCACATACAGTCCACTACCATAGAGTTCTGGCAAATTTTGATTTTCATTTCTTTCAGGTTAACATGCACAACCTCCATTCATCAAGTGACGATGAAGAGAATGACCTCAAGGAGTTCAGCTTCCCTCAGGAGGCTGTCCTACAGCAGGCAAGTGTGTAGCCCCATTTAGGACTATTGGATGCAAGGGGTTGGAGCTATGCACATGTTTTCAATTACTTTAGGAACATAGAACATTTTAAAGCTCTGGGTAGGCCTGATGGTGCCTGACCCAAATCACATTTATTTATTTATTTATTTATTTATTTATTTATTTATTTATTTATTTATTGCATTTCTATACCACTTTCCTCATCCCTATGGGGGACTCAAAGTGGTGTACAACATAATAAATGGCAAAAATTCAGTGCCGAACATACATATAAAAGCAATACATAACATATCTAAATCAATTGAAATATGAATTAAAATAATCAAAAACTATGCATTCTTATTGGGCAGAGTATTTATTTATTTATTTACTTTGCTTATATACCGCTGTTCTCAGCCCAGGGGCGACTCACAGCGGTGTACAACATAGGAACAACAAAATTCAAGACATAGTATAAAAACAATTCTGGCCCCAGAGTAGCCGTTGGTGCAGGGGGAGGGGCACTGATGTCACGGGGGACAAGATGGCAATGTCCTCCTGGTTCCCCTTCTTTATTCTGGCCCCGGAGTGGCTGTTGGTGCTGGGGGAGGGGCGCTGATGTCACAGGGGACAAGATGGCAATGTCCTCCTGGCTCCCCTTCTTTATTCTGGCCCCAGAGTAGCCGTTGGTGCTGGTGGGGGGGCGCTGATGTCACAGGGGACAAGATGGCAATGTCCTCCTGGCTCCCCTTCTTTATTCTGGCCCCAGAGTGGCCGTTGGTGCTGGGGGAAGGGCGCTGATGTCACAGGGGACAAGATGGCAATGTCCTCCTGGCTCCCCTTCTTTATCCCTTTTTGTCTTTGCACCAACCAATGCTTAAATTGTTGAATTAAAGTAAGTATAAATTCATACTGCATTAGTAAGGCTTAGAAGTTTTTTTACATGGAAACAGGATTCCATAGCATTCATAATAACTAATATTTGTGGGTGTATTCAATGTTCTTTAGATAGCTTGTGGTTATGTAGAATCCTTGTTCTCTCAACAAAAGGCTTCTTTCACTCCAGAGGTAATTTCACCTATGCTATAAGTGAAAGATGTTTGAGTGGTTCTCAACCTGTGGGTCCCCAGATGTTTTGGCCTTCAACTCCCAGAAATCTTAACAGCTGGTACGCTGGCTAGGATTTCTGGGAGTTGTAGACCAAAACACATGGAGATCCACAGGTTGAGAACCACTGGCTGTAACCTGTTTTTGTCACTATAGAGGTGGCAACATTTCTGTCCACCCTGTTTTGAGGCACTGGTTATGAAATCCTGACATTTCCTTTTTTTCCAGCTTTCACTCTTAAGTTTTCTTTGATTTTCCTTTTGCATTGTTTTGTATATTTCACACAGGCAAAATGAGTTATAAGGATATAAAATAAATGAGTAACCCAATCAGATGCTATTCAGCTAAGACAAATGTGAATCAAGTTGAATTCAGTGGGATTCATTTTGTAAATTTGGATTAGGAAATAGGAAAGAATATCTTCTGGGAAACAACATTTTATAGACTTACTGGTTTTCTTTCATGAGAGTTAGGTAGGCTTATGTAGATATTGTCTACCCTCCCTATGCCCAGTTGCACTGTGATTCACCTTTATCCTTGTCTCCTTTTCTTTCTTATATAGGCCTTTGTGGATTATCAGTTGCAGCAGATGACTTCAGCATTTATTGATCACTTTGGCTTTAATGATGAGGAATTTGGCGAGCAGGAAGAGAATGTGAAGTTAGTGGTGAACACTTCCTTCTTTTCTTCTTTTTGTGTCATGCTTTTGTATTGTCTTACCTTTTCTGGCCTGTTCTATGCTCACTGACTGAGAATAAAACTTCCCTCCTTTGCATATAATAGCAAAGCAGGGGAGATTCTGAATATTTCAGGAAGGAATCATCTTTTCACAAGAATCAGGAGAGGGAAAGTCAATATTTATCTGAAGTTCCATATATAGGTTTGCACCTGCTTGGATTTACAGTGAAGGAATACCTGCTTGCCCTCTGCTGGTCTTCTCCTATGTAGGTTCAGTTCTTGCAACTCAGTTGTGAATTTGCTTGCAAGAATTGGGTTTTTTTTTTCAATAGCTTTTTGCAGATTTGTAGTACAAATAATTTGTATGTGGGTTGCAGACAGCACACCCACCTAGAGTAACAAGATACACTATGCAGGTCTGGAAAAAATGAAAGATATTTAAGATCTACTTCCACTTGTCCTAACCAGTAATCTACAGGAGATGCTAGGTCAGCCTTTTCTTATCTTAGGGCCTGTCTGATACTTTGACCTACAACTTTCATTACAGTCTGCCATTGGCCATATTGTTTCTGGTTGTTGAAAGTTATAAACTAGAATCTTGGGGCAGGTACAAACTGAGTGAACACTGATGGTCAGCATTGCTTGTTTTCTCATAGAGTTTGGGGGGAAATGGCATTCATAACCTTTTTGAAAAGGAAAAATGTCATATCCTTTGGCAAATATGGATCTCCATGAACATGTGGAGACCACCTTTTGAAAACCACAAACATTCATGTAACCGCATACAGGTAATTCAACTGTTAAAAACTGATAAACCATATCTTTGAACTGTCAGGAACAAAGACATGCCATTGCACAAAAAATATACTTAGCTAGCAGAGTTTTGAAATGTTTCCTTGAAGTTGAAATTGCAGTTGCCCGAAACATATACTCTCTCTTGAAACCTCTTAGTTTACAGTATACACTCAGAGACAAAAAACAAGGTATTCTTTAAAAAGTAACATATCTTGTTTACTCACAAACATCTTGTATTAATTCACCATACAGGCACATTTCTTATTAACGTTCAGTTGTAGATAGGATGTAGTTTCTCTGTGTTGGGAACACAGGGTATCATTTTTAATCAATAGTCCAAAGTCTTTAAGTATACATCTTATAAAACTCCAAACTATATAACTGTACTCACAAGTTCTCAAAGCAAACATATAGTAAACGGATCCTTCATATGTCCAAATGACATCTGTTTCTGTTGAAGTCCAAAATCATACTGTATCCACCTCCATTGAGGTCTAAAGCAAACTGCTAACATTAAAGTCCAAAAAACATACTGATAACAAAATGGAGTCTTGAGTCTGAACATGCTCAGTACAGTCGCATGTCTGTAGCCCCTCCCACTCCAAAGAGATCAGTCAAACTAGCAAATCAATATATAAATACAATACAGGTTAGCAAATATATACAAATAGTGAAGGTTTGAAAGGTTGCTATTTCCAACATAGACGGCAGATTTGTGGGGTCCTCCAGTGGAAATTATGGCATATATGAACTTGAAAAGGAGCCCTACTGGGTGACACTAAAGGCAATACATCTCCAGCATTCTGGTTGTAAATCAAATGCTCTCAGGAAACCCACAAATAGAGAATGAAGGATTTGGAAGTCATTAAGGGATTGGCCTAAGGCCAGGTTCCACCCCAAAGAATCTGGCTCCCAGTGTCTTCCACAATTCATTCTAAATCAATAGTCTCATTTGGCAAGGATGAGCCCTTTGATTCCTGGATCCCTTTTGTCATTTAAGTATTTATTTATTGTGTCAGATGCGAATTGAGATGATTCCCTCAATCATCTAAGTAATTAATTTTCTCTGCAAATACTGACCAGTGGTTCATGCTTTTCCAAATTTTTGTTCTTATTGAGGCAGCTTCCGTTTGAATCTCCTCCTTTGGAAGACAGAACTAGTTCAAAAGAGAGGGAGCCTGGAACCTTATTAGTAATCCTTCATCCCTCCCGCAAGAACAATCTCTTTCCCCAGCCCCCCTAATTTCATGTGTCTGCCTCTCTCTCTCTCTCTTTCTCTATCTGTGCTTGTCTGCCCTGCAGCGCTCACTTCCGACAGCTGAAAAGGTAATGCTGTGCTCCTTTCATGCCATGGTGGGCATCGGTCTATATGCATCTTCTCCATCTATGAGTGTCGGCAATTTTGCCTCCCTTTTTCCCATCATGAAATACATCACCCAGGTGGATTAAGCTAAAAGTGAAAGCCCAGATATATTTTGTGCAAAATCACACTGAGACTTACTCTTGACTATATGTTAAAGTGTGATTAGTTGCCCAGCATAAAACACAGTTTGCCAGAAGAGTTGATCAGTAGTCTGACTTGCTAGAATTTGTGTGTTGGCTCAGCCGATTATGTCTGTATATAAATCGGTTTTGTTGCATTTTATTTATTTATTTATTTATTTTTATAAAGCTTTCTACCTTAATATAAACTAGATTTAATTATTCATTTTAAAAACATTGAACTGATTTGGGGGATATAATAGCCATTACAATATAGGATGCAGTTGAATAATAAAATATAACCAACTCTTTTGTAAAAATGCACAGCATTGCTTAATCCAAGTTACAGCAATTATTAAATGCAGATTGAAATACAAATATATTAGTAAAGGTAAATGTTTCCTCTGACATTAAGTCTAGACATGTCCAACTCTGGAGGTTGGTTGTCATCTCCATTTCTAAGCCAAAGAGCCGGTGTTGTACATAGACACCTCCAGGGTCATGTGTCCAGCATGACTGCCTGGAGCGCTGTTACCTTCTTGCCAAATGTGACTATTGATTTAGTCACATTTGCATGTTTTTGAATTGCTAGGTTGGCAGAAGCTGGGCCTAACAGTGGGAGCTCACCCCGTTCTGTGGATTCAAACCACTGATCTTTTGGCCAGCAAGTTCAGCAGCTCAGCGGTTTAACCTGCTGCGCCACCAGGGGGCCACAAATATATCAAGAGGCTTTAATAAAAACAAAATTAATGGAGTCATACTGATTTTGGAGAATAATGGAATTCATAGATTCTTGGCTCACCACTGACAAAGCCCTGTCCCTGTGGATGGGTGATTCCTTTCTGGGAACAGGGAAGAGATCTGCAAGCCTTGCCCCCTCATTTGGGAAGGGGTTTATGGCAAACCATATGAAAACCAGGGAGCCCTGACCCAAGGAGGCAGAAGCATGAATTTGAGGGATTTTGTTTGTTTTTTGTTTGCATGGCTTGAGGAAGAGGAAATATAACATTGTAGATAAGATAGAGCCACAACTTTGAAACCTTCCCTTCTATGAACTCTTTTGCTGTGGAGCCTTAGACTAGCAGCTGTTTCTGCCTTGCTTTCCCTTCGTCTGCATTGAAGATATGATTTTACTGACCATTATTTTGAGGGGAAGTGCTTTAAACCTGTTCTCTCAAATGCTGCAGAAGAATTAAATCATTAATCATTAAATCCAAACCCAAACAAAATACCTTTCCACCACATCAAGCTTTGTGGATCCCTCTTTCCAAACTACACCTTGCTGCTGTCCCATATGAGATAACACATATGAGATTTCTAACTTTAATCTTGGGTCTCATTGTTTTGTTTCAGTGCCCCCTTCGACAAGACGGCCAACATCACCTTTTCCTTGAATGCAGATGATGACAGTGTAAGTGTCATTTTTCCAGAGCTGCCTCTTCCTTCCTTTGAACTCGGCCTACAATTTCAACTACTTCCTTCCTCCTTTTCCCTCATAGCCCAACTCCAACCTTTTTGATATCTGCTACAAAGAGCGGATCCAACAGTTTGATGATGACGAAGAGGCTGATGGTTCTGACGGGGAGGACATCTGGCAGGAGAAGGAGGCTGCTGTCTCTTCTGGCTTGGTCCAGGCAACAGCTGTCAGGTGAGGAAGGATGCTATGTACTAGGCCTGAAGGCACCTTTTGGGTTCATCAAACAGGCTAAGGATCATGTTTGCTCTGTCAAGGCGCATGTTGCCTTTTTCTGTTGCTTGTTTCAAACAGTGCAGTGTTGTTCTTTTTCTAAATAATCTAAGCACTCTTATTTATCCCCTCATCTTAAAATCGTGCATGTTTGTTTATTTGTCAGACTTGTGCTGCATTTTCCAGAGTGGCATTCAACACTTTCCTTATTTCATTTTTACATAGCTGTTGTCGTATGTCAAAGTTTATGGAGGAGTTCTTAATCAGGCTCATCGGATCTATGACCGCCTAGAACGCAACCTCTTACGAGAGAGAATTCACACCATCCGCAAAGAACTCGCAAACACAGACAAGGAATTGCTGCACCTCCATATCAACATCAGCCAGAAGATGAATTCCCAGGACTGGGACAAAATAGACAACCTCACTTACAGGAAAATGGAGAAAAACATGGCTGTCCATACCAACAGACAAAAGCAAAAATTCCACAAACGCCAAAAGCAACAGCCGAAACCACAACTGGATACATCACAGACCATCATCAACCTGACAGACAGACAACTCTCTGAAGACCAAGTATCCATACTAGCGAAAGGAGGAAACTTTGCTGTAACCGCCACCAGGATCCCAGTAGAAAACATCATTGCCAATGTTGAATCAGCAATTTATCGCCTCCCCGAGGAGGAAGCAGAAGAAGTACGAGCAGAAACAGCAAGGATCCTGAAAAAGGCAAAACTTCCCTCCAGTAACATTACTAGGAAGGAGAGACAAGCCATCAGAGAACTGAATTCAGATCCTGATATCCTCGTTATGCCAGCAGACAAGGGGAATGCCACAGTAATCATGCATACAGAACAATACAAGGAGAAGATCAGAAAACTCCTGGACCCTACTATATACAAAAAACTCAAGCAAGACCCAACTGCCAAAATAACCAAGAAAACCAACACCCTGATTAAGAACTCCTCCATAAACTTTGACATACGACAACAGCTATGTAAATCGGAAGCCCTTCCACCCAGGCTTTATGGACTCCCAAAAATCCATAAGGACTCCACCCCACTCAGACCCATCGTGAGTGCCATTGGATCCCCCACATACGACCTAGCAAAATTTCTTGCTGCACAGTTACAAAGCCATATTGGGCTCACTACACACTACATCAAGGACTCGGCCCACTTCATAGAAAAAATCAGCAATCTCAAGCTAAATACAAACGACAAACTGATCAGCTTCGATGTGGTATCTCTATTTACCATGGTCCCGGTAGCAGACACCATGGCACTCATCAACCAGAGGTTCCCAGAAGACATCACGGCTCTGTTTCACCATTGCCTCACCACCAGTTACTTTCAGTGGGACAATGAATTCTACGAACAGAAAGATGGAGTAGCTATGGGGAGCCCTCTCAGCCCGGTCATAGCTAACTTCTACATGGAACACTTTGAAGAACAAGCCCTGGAAACAGCAACCAAAAAGCCCACGATATGGTTCAGATATGTGGATGACACCTTCACCATTTGGAGCCATGGAGAAGAAGAACTCAACAGGTTCCTGGACCATCTTAACAGCATCCACCCAAACATCCAGTTCACCATGGAAAAAGAAAATGAAGGAAGACTGCCTTTTCTAGATGTCCTAGTCATCCGCAAACCAGATCAACAATTGGGTCACACTGTCTACAGAAAACCCACACACACAGATAGATATCTACATAAAAACTCCAACCATCACCCAAGTCAAAAAAGAAGCACCATTAAAGCCTTGGCAGACCGTGCAAAAAGAATCTGCGAACCCCACCTCCTCCAAGATGAACTGAACCACCTCAACTGGGCTCTCCAGGCCAATGGATACTCCACCTCAGACATCAGAAGAGCTGCAAGACCAAGAACAAGCCACGAGAGTAAAGATGAAGATCCACCCAGAGGAAAAGTGTTCCTGCCATACATCAAGGGAACCACTGATCGCATAGGGACGCTGATGAGGAAACACAACATACAAACAATCTACAAACCCACCAAGAAAATCCAACAAATGCTACGTTCAGCAAAGGACAAGAGGGATCCTCTCACCTCTGCAGGAGTCTACCGTATACCATGCAGCTGTGGACAAGTCTACATAGGGACCACCAAACGCAGCGCCCAGACACGCATCAAGGAACATGAAAGGCACTGCAGACTACTTCAACCAGAGAAGTCAGCCATAGCAGAGCACCTGATGAACCAGCCTGGACACAGCATATTATTTGAGAACACAGAAATGCTGGACCACACCAACAACCACCATGTCAGACTACACAGAGAAGCCATTGAAATCCACAAGCATGTGGACAATTTCAACAGAAAGGAAGAGACCATGAAAATGAACAAAATCTGGCTACCAGTATTAAAAAACTCTAAAATTATAACAGCTAAACAACAGAGAGGAAAAAACCAGGCACAGATTAACACCTCCCAGCAACAGATTTTCCCAGGCTCAGGCAGGCCTTCAAATGCTAATGAAGGTGATCAGCTAAACATTCACACCTAACTGCAGCAGGGAAGAGCTCCTTGCCCCACCCCAGCCATTCCACAGATATATAAACCCATTGTCCTAATTCCAACAGACCTCACTACCTCTGAGGATGCTTGCCATAGATGCAGGCGAAACGTCAGGAGAAATGCCTCTAGAACATGGCTCTATAGCCCGAAAAAACCCACAAGAACCTAATTATTATTATTATTATTATTATTATTATTATTATTATTATTATGCCTGTGTAATTAGTGCAACTTTTGATCATCTTCCTTGCAGTGCATTCTATTCATTTCTCCTCTTCATTTTGCCTTGCCTCTATAGATAGAAACTCCCAAGAAGGACAGCATACTCAGACTATAGGGGAAAATGGCATATGAATATCTAAAATATCCCAATTCTTTTCTCTCTCTCCAACCCCTTTGCAGAAGCCTTGGCAGTACAGATAGTGAGGACAGCGAAGACTCAGAAGAAGGAGAAGGGGGCGAGGAAGATCCTGGCGGGGGAGATGGAGGTGCCATCCATGTTAGCAATGGCTGTGGTGAACAAACAGAGCTAGAGAGAACGTTAGAAGGTGAGCACTGTGTGGGGATTTGGATAAGTAGAAGAAAAAGATTGTGTATGGTGAAATGCAGGCTTTGTTGCAAGTGTACTGACTTGGCAGTACTTCTGAACAGGTCAATCCAACACAGCAGATCACTTGTGGAGTAAATGGTTATGAGTGTGACACAAAGGATAGAATTTTCTCTAAGTTCTGTGTAGATTAACTGGCTGGGCTACATTAGGTGTGATCGACAGAAGTTTTCTCCCCAGGGCTGGAACAACATGTAATGATGAACCCTTTACTACTAGGGAATTCTGTCAACAGCGAGAGTACGCTCGGAACGCTGGCCTAGCAAGGGAAAACAGGCACACTAGCAAGAGAGAGAGCAGCTTCGGGGGGGAAAAGGCGGGGCTTCGGAGCGAGCCCGAGCGCAAGCTCGCTCTCGCTTCCTGTAGTTTGCGGCGGCTCTTAGGAATCGAAAGGTTGGCAGTTCGAAGCCCGGGTTGGGGTTGGAGTTTGACCTTCAGCCCAGCTTGCTGTCCACCTAAGCAGTTCGAAAACATGTGAGCTGTGAGTAGAGAAATTAGTCATCGCTTAAGTTGGGAGGTATTTTACGTCACCATAAAAGAAATACCAGAAAATGCCAGCAATCAAAGAAAGGAGGAAGTCTGTGATCAAGGCTTTTCATTATAGAGGATGGAGTGACAGCACCCCTCTGTGGCCAGAATCAAGCACAATCTCCAGGAAGTTGAAGTTGGGAAAAATGCTGACATAATACCTCTATCTGTCCTGTATTAACGGCATTGAATATTTGCCGTGTATTTGTTCTGTGATCTGTAATGCTGTAAATAAAAAAAATAGATAGGATAGATAGATTGCAGTCCTAGTTAGAGCTCAACATCTGAATAAAACTGTTATTTCTTAGATCACGGCTGGGCAGACAGCTCCTCCGATCCTTCCTCGGGATCACAACCTGTAGCAGCAGATACAGGAGCAGCAGTGTGGGACAAGTCCAGCTCAGAGACCTCCCACACAACCACAGATGAAAACTGGGCCTCATTTACAGAGCCCCCAACACAAGAGAGGTGAAGCCTTCCCACATGTAATCTGTTTAAGATCTGCTTAAGAATATTTGGTAGAGGAACTGGGAGGTGGAGTTGATGGGATGATGAACCATTGAATAAACATTTGGATCTGATTCAAGAGGACCAATATAGAAATTAATGGTTTTGGGGCAGCAAGGAAGGGATTATGTTGGGATTTGTTAATTTTTTCTCTCTCTTATTATTTTATATCTTTACCCTTCTAGTCCCTCCAAAGCACTTACGAGCGCTGATTCCCCTGCCGATTCCGCTCAGGAAGCAACGCAAAGCAATGTATCCCCAGAAGGAAGTGAGTAGTGCTCTTGTTCTTCTGAAACAGCATGACTGCATCCAGGAGAAAAAACACCAGTTTCCTCTGTAGCACCCCTTGCATATAATCCTTAACAAGTTGTCACTGTATGTCCCTTGAATTGTTTGCCTTGTAGCAAGTCAAGTAACACTTGCTAAGCAGCTTATCGGACTTAATAATAATAACAACAACAAACAACAACAACAACTTCATTTTTATACCACACCACCATCTCCCTAAAGGGAATCAGCATGGCTTACATGGGGACTAAGCCCGGAGCATGCAACAAAATTCACCAGCTAAAACACATTTAATAACAACATAACATATAACATAACACAAATATCTAATTAAAACAATTAAAAACAGCTTATTATAAAAAATCATAAAAGTATATCAAACCAACCTTAACCAGTAACCAGGAATATGGTGGGCATGACCAGATTAGAGAGGGCAGGGCATGGGCTTGTGCAAAAATTCTTCCTTTGTGATCTGTGCTGTATTTTCAGGGATGGAGCGACATACTTCTGCTCATACTTCTACTAGTGAATTAAAAAGCCTTAGCTATGAACATGTACCAATAAAACTAGGTTTGCTTTGCGTTGTGTTATGTGCATTTTCCTGTGTTGTGTTATGTGCATTTCAGCCAACAACAACAGTAATAGTTTTATTTCTTTACTCGCCTCTCCTCGTGGCTCAAGGCAGGTTACAACATAGCTAAAAACACATAATCATTTAACGTGTTTCTACAAAATACATGTATTAAAACACACAGAACAATGATATAGCGGTCACGAGACATGCATTTAAAATTCATAATTAAAACTGGCTAGGTAGACTTTCCAGAAGAGATAAATCTTCAGGTGTGTCTTCAGAGCTCTTCTGGCAAGTTGTTCCACAGTCTTGGGGCGGCTGATGAAAAGGTCCTCTGGGTGACAATCGCCAATCAAGTTCTGGCAGGCTGGAGTAGCCGCCCCCACAGAGAACCTAAGTTTTTGTGACTATTTGGGAGAAGGCAGTCCTGTAGGTAACTTGGACACAAACCATGTAGGTTAAAAAATGTGTTTCAGCCAATACAGTTCTCTATGGTGGTCTGTGTGGGAAATAACTTTAATGGGAACATCACATGGTATCACAAATATCTGAGGCACTGTTGTAACCTCTATTAGCACAACAGCCTGCCTGCCAAGAATGGACTTTGTGCATATTTCTGCTTGTCTAGTTTCTATGAATGGGGAAGGATGCTTGAGAAACTGCAGGCATATACAATCAGCCTCCAAGTTACAAACATGAAAGGTTCTTAAGTTGAATTTCTATGTAAATTGGAACAGGTACATTTTTAAAGTGCAACGCCAGCCAAAATATATATTTACCATAAATTAGCTTTAGATAGCATAGGGAAGAGTTAAACCCCCTTGTGGTGTTTGTTTTGCTATCTGTGTACCTGTTCAGAAAATTTCACCTCACTTTCTGTCCCTGTAATAATTGAATTTTGAAAAATTTGACTTCTCGTGGAAACAAGGATTGGTGAGAAAGCTTAAATGGAGAGACTTTTCCCCATATGATAACTCTTTCAGGAGTGAATTTCCCTTACTAGGGGTAGATTTTTTTTTTACTTCCTGTTGTCTTACCCCTGTTTTTCCTTCTGCCTCTAACAGCAGCTTCTAGTGTTCAACAGGATCTTCCTACTCCAGACACAGGCCCCCCAGAAGGAAGTGATCCACCAAATCCCTCCACCATGAAAACAGTAGCCAGGTAAGATTATAAGGTGTGATCTGGGATGCCGCTGGCTGGTTTTAGTTCTGAAAATTGAAAAGGATGGTTAAATAATTTTAAGGTAAAAAAATCATATTAGCATTGGCAAACCCCTTCGATAACAGACAGGAATCTGAGAAAAATAACAAAGTGCTGATTGTGGGTATTTGTCTGCACACATTTATACTTTCAATTATTCTTTGGGTCTCCTTCCCAGTTTTGCAAAGAAAACAGGGATTGCTAGTACTGCGGGCAGGCCTCTAATTTGTGGTCCATTCTCTCTCACACAATCACCATTAAGAGTCATGCGCTTCTGTGGAAGAAATACAGCTTCTTTGCTGCAATTTACAAAATGATTCAGTATGAAAAAGGGAGAGTGAAGTATCGGGATCACTAAGTATTGCTAGCATTTGTATATATGACTAGGAGAACATTGCAACTCCTGTATAACCTCTTACATGTGTTTCCTCCCCCTTCTGCAGCACAGTAGAACCTCCCCCAACTACCTCCGATGCCGCCCAACCACTTCAGGGGACGACAGAGACTCTACAACCTGAGCTCAGCTCCCCACAGACAGAACAGCAGCAGCAACCGACGGCCAGGTAAGTAAATAGGAGCAGGTAAAGGAGATAGAGAAAGGGGAATTGATAGGATTTGTGAGGGATGTCTGCCTTCTCAGGAAAGAAGCTGTCCAGGAGGAGATTTTTGGGTGGTCCTCAGATGATCCCTCAAATTACACAGCAGGCTTTACTTTATGAATGTGTCATACTCACACATTGTACTTGCATGTTGTATAAGCTATAGCTCAGGCATGGGCAAACTTCGGCCCTCGAGGCATTTTGGACTTCAACTCCCTACCGGCTGTTAAGTCCAAAATGCCTGGAGGGCTGAATTTTATGTTGGGTGACTGGACTTATTAACAAAAGACCCTCCTCATAAATGTACAGCAGAGTAGCTTATTAGCAGCAGTGTGACCCAGCACCAGTAGTCCAAAGTGATGATAAAAAACAAAAACACACAGACAAATGTTATCTCTTCCATAGGAAGCTTTTCGTTTGTAGTAAAATAATATGGTTATACTGTTTACAAGAACAAGGTTTCTATAATACAAATAAAGTTCTTTATGCTTCCTTTGTTGCTTCCACGCTGGGCTTCTTTCTCATGCAGATAAACAACTTCATATTACAGAGCCTCCTTTGACACCAAAATTAATTACACAGTAGCTTTTTACACAGCTTGACACACAAGGCCTTCAACCTGGGGCTTCCTCTCACCAAAACTTCTCACACCAGGCCTTCTCACAGATTAAGGCCTACCTCACACAGAGGCTTCTCTCTCAGACTAAGGCTTACCTCACACTGTGAGACCTCTCAGAGACTAAGGCCTACCTCACATTGTGAGGGCTTCTCACAGATTAAGGCCTACCTCACACAGAGGCTTCTCTCACAGACTAAGGCCTTCCTCACACTGTGAGGCCTTCTCTCGCAGACTAAGGCTTACCTCACACTGTGAGACCTCTCAGAGACTAAGGCCTACCTCACATTGTGAGGCCTTCTCACAGATTGAGGCCTCTCTCCCACTGAGGCTTACCTCAGAACTTATATAGATCTACAGCTTTTGTTGAGTCATTGCATCCATTTAACCCTTTCAGTGCTTGACTCACGTTTTTGTAATTAAAAATACCTAGTTAATTTGTAATATTTCTGACAGCATGCCTGAGCTATAGGCAAAATAGGTAATGCTCTCTCTCTGTCCTTCTCCTTCCTCAGATAAAGCTACTCAGTGGGTCTCGTCACTGGGGAAGGACCACGGCTGCTTGCTCAATCAAGTCCATTTTGCCAGGGACGGTCCCCATCCTTTCGGTGCCTTCATCCCTGTGGGCAGGTGGGGGGGCACGAAGAGAAAGCAGCAAGGGGCGACGAAAGGCCCGGTTTCTCTCCCTATCCCACCCAAGCAATTACTGAAGAAATCAGGACCTGGTACCAACAAGCACCTGAGAAACAAAAATGGATGTGTGTACAAGGGCAACAGCATCTTCCTCCTTGTGGCATTGTAGTTGGTGAACCCCAGAAACACTCCGCTGGGGAAGGGAGGGGCATTCTCGGTCAGAGTCTTTCTCTTTCTCTCTTTATTCCTGTGGCACAATGCCTCTTTCTCAACATCCCTCTCCCTCCAAACTGCTGCTGCACTGAGCAAACCTGTTTGTTTTGATACAATTAAAAACGATGCTTGAATTATACCAGAGATCTTCTGATGGGATATCAGTGAGTGGGGCAGGGAGAAAACCCATCAAGCAACATATCCCTCTGTCTCTCTCTTTCAACTGTTGAGTGCCCCACCTGCAAGCACAAACCTGCCACATCTTTCCTCTCCACCTTCCCTTCCCCCATCATCTGCTTCCCAAAGTTGTCCACAGGGAGGCAGATGGAGGTCAACCAGAAGCATTACACAGGGTAAGGAAGATGGGGCTTTGCTTCACAGGTTGAAAATGTGCTGCATTGAGGACTGCTACCTCAAGCTGCAAGGGTTGAGAGAGAAGCAAAGGATTCGGAGATTGTATGATAGATACAGGGCTCATGTGAAATTTCCCATCCCCAAATTTCTGTGCTCACACTCAGTCCCCACGATTCTGTGGAACTGCTCTCTTAAGAGAACAGTGGAGGCTGGGAGAGCAAAGGCAGAGCAAGCCTTCTGAGGGTGCTGAATGAAAATGGTTGCTTCTCCCCACCCCTGGAGCTTCCCCCTATTTGGTGGATTTCAGCCAATAGCTTGGAAAGGCTACTTTGTTGGAATATAGCTCTCAAAATCTGCCAGCCTTGCCAGTTGGTGGATTGTCAGCATTGTAGTCCAAAACAGTAACTTCCTAAGTTGTACAATCCACTCGGTGGGATTTTTTTTTAAGGAGTGCTTTGTATGTACGCCAGTGTGAAATCTGAATCAACCTTCCTAAAATTGTTGTCATTTTGATTCTCCCTTTTCCCAGCATTCATTAACTGATTGGGATTTAAGCTTAGTTCCATCCCATTCTCTTTCCAGTGGGTTCAGCCTCCCCATCCATTCTCTTTCGCCCTGCGTTGGTTGTTTTGCTTACTTGTTAAAGGGCTCAGTAAGTCCACTTTTTCCCACAGATCTATGCATCAGCTGCATTGGGGTAGAAGTGGAGAGAAGCACAATAGCCCACTTTCTCATTCTCTCTCTTGACATTGATATTTTGTGAAAGCCTGTGGGAGGAGACCCTATTTTGTTTTACAAATGATATAGATGGCAGTTGATGGTGTAAATGGTCCTTAACCCCAGCAGTATGACTAATTTCGAAGAGCCCACCAATTTATCGCAGGAGTTGATGGGGAGTCCTGCCCTCCTGTATTGCTGCCGTGTCACTGCAAGCTGATATTCTCCAGCTTTGTTGACGCCAGCTATCCGTAAACAAACAAATGTTCTGTGGGAGCAGGAATTTTCCCTACTTACACTGTCCCTCCCGTAGCAACTTTATTTAAAATAAGACTTCTTTCCTCTTGAGGAACTTCAGAAACAGGAAGGCTTCCTTCTTTGGGGAACAGTATTGGAGAAAATGCGGGAGGGTCCTTTTTTAGTGCTGGTAGCATATTCCAGAAATATAACCTCAGTGTTATCCCTTTTCTCCGCCTCTCCCATTGATCCCTGAATCTGCTTGGGTGGTGTGAGTATAATTAATGGGAGCAATTAATTAAAAAACAGACTCTACTCTAGGACTCCATTTCCGAAATGAGATGCAAGATCCGAACTCAAGTTTCCCATATACCCTTTTTCAAAGGCAAGGAGCTCTCATTCCAGCCCTGTCTGTTGTTACCACAGATTCTACGCTTGTCATGAGGCTCCTAGAAATTGAATTCCCCATTACAAGCCCAACCGCCTTTTTCTTTTCTTACCTCATTCTCCAAGCTGATGATGTGTTTGGGCTTTCCGTAGCTCCTTTTTGTAGTCTTTAAAAACAACATCACAGAATCACTGCCTCATCCTTGCCTCTGAATTTAGAATTGGGACAAGAGTATTGGAACGGTTCACTTGAGAACTCCTTGAGATGTGGGGGGTAAGGAATCCCAGTGCCTGTGAACCTTGGAATGGGGGAGATGGGTGGAACAACTTGTTCTAGGGTTTGCGGAGTTCACATCCAAGGTGGTAGGAAGAGAGGTTGTGGTCCACATCCCTCCCTCCTACCTTGCCTCTTTATTTGCAGGTGGTCAGTAGACGTGTAACCTCTCCTGTGTCTCCCACTCAGCCCCCCCAAAATATAAGTGGCAATATTTCTTGAAGCTCTTAAACCACAAAGGACAAAAGTGGCCTTTCGCGTTGTCTGCGTCATGCCATGTTTGTTATCATTATTTTTTTTCTTTTTTCCCTGTGTGTGTGTACGTGTGTGTTCTGTTTGAATAAAGAGATTCTATGGCCATTGCTGGTTCTTCTCCTTTTTCTTTTGTGCAAAAGCTTCCGTCCCACTCTCTTTTTCGTTGGATTTTATAGTTCATTGTTATTCTCAGGACTTCTCTACATATGCTGGAGAAAGAGGTGTATGTTTTCTTATAACTTTCTTGTACAGGTTTACCAAAAGGGTTACGAATCAGTATTTGCTCACCTTTAGAAATCGGTTTGGTTATTTGGGGTGCTGATTCAGAAAATTACATCCACATCAGCTCTAGTTCCTGATAACAGAACATAGGCCATCCAGTAGTCGCCATCTGCTCGCCCACAGAAAAGCATATTAGCTTCGGCACTATAAGAGGTTTTTGTGAGACCAGTCGCTCTTGTTGTAGCGGTGTAGTAACTGTGAGGCTGCGGACCATATTTTAGTTCTTGCGGATCACAGGTTGGGAACCACTGTTTTATGGAGACAACCTCCCTATGTGTATGTATATGTAATGATAACAACAAATTACATGGTGACATTTGACAAATCGGCCCTGTCCTAAAAGTTCAACGGCTCCATTGAGATGGCTGTGCACAACTTGATTGGAAGACTTCTACCTGTTCCTAAATCATTAGTATTAAAATGTTTTGATGCAATCTAGAAAGAGGAGGAGGAGGATGCGGGGGAGGAAGAGGAGCAGTAGCAGCAGCAGCAAATTGTATATAGAAATGACACCACAAAGGATTTTGTTCCCTCTTGAATCCATAATGTATTTAAGATGAAAAGGGCTCCTGGCAACTACAGCTCTTCTAAATTATCAAGAACTTGTAATGGTTACATACAGAAAGACACAAGCAGTGTAATAAATAAGATTCAAACATCTTGCCCTCACAAAAATTTACAACCAATATAGTGAAGGAACCAAAGTTTGTTATATATTGTAGGACAGGCCTGCACAACTTGGGAGGAATAAGGAGCTAACCCAAAATTCCCTCTCTCTTTTCATTCCTCCCTTTCTTCCTGTTTTCCTTCCGTACCCTTTCATTTTTTTTATTTCTCTCTTTCTTTCTCTCTCCCAAGGGCGGGCATGGCAGCTTTCCTCCTCAATTTCCATGCCACAACCCAGTGATTCCGGCCATGAAAACCACTGACAACACATTGCTTTTTTGTTTGTTTGTCTGAAGATACACACACACACATGTATCTATGTATGTGGGAAAATATCCAAAGATACCTGTGCCTCCCACAGATGATGGATCTAGACCAAACTTGGTACAGACCCTGGAGGATTGGAGCTGTAGTTCACCAAAAATCAAAGCACATTCTGAACCCAACTGAAGATGGTTCTGAACTTAACTTGGCGCAAGTGGGCCTAAACGTGTACCTCTATCATAGCAATGGGAAAACGTCGGCCCTCCTGGAGGGCGGCAATGGAGTGGGGCAACAGGGTCGGGGCGAGCAGAGACTAAAGTAAAGTCTGTGGCAGGCCACACCAAAAACCTATGCAGGCTGCATGTGGCCCATATATCATATGCTGTGCAGGCCTGTTGTAGGAGCTAAATAAAGAAATGGAATTAGAACATAAAGTTTTAACAGCATCAAATTAAAATTTACCATAAAATATTCCTTAGTACTAAAGCAACTAACCCAGTTACAATCTAAAAACCTAGAAGGTGCCTATTACATGCAGCATTGTTGCTGGGCTGTTTGCTTCATAATCCCCAAATGACCCTGCTATTAGCCTACATAATGGATATATTGTCAACATATTTCGAAGTCACCACATAGAGAGGGTTGCTCTAGAAGAATGCAGCACCCTGAGCATGCTCATAATGTGTAAAGAGATATTAACCAATGCCACTTCTGAGGTTGGGGAGAAGGAAAAGAAAATACATTTTAAAATACTGAAGCTTTTAATAATGCAAAGGTATAGAACAAAACATTTTGGCAGCCCTTCCCTGTTGCTTTAATTTAGAAAAGAAGGTACCAATTACACACAGCATTGCTTCCATAATGAAAAAAGAGCGACTCGACTTGGCATTGCCCTTTGCTTCTATTTTCCTTTCATCATGAAACAAATGCACGCCCACTTTAAATATCAAGACACAGATATTTAAGAACACTTCTCTCTGTTCCAAAGTCTTCAATCTAATTCTAATCAAGAATTCTCACTCTGATTCAGGAGCCCCCAAACTATGGCCCGTGGGCCAGATTTGGCCCCACAAGGTCATTTACCAGGCCCCACCCTAAATTTTAGACTTAGGGTTGCCCTACGTCTGAAACAACTTGAAGGCACACAACAACAATCCTAATTAACTTGCCAAAAGCAGGTCCACACTTCCCATTGAAGTACTGCTAAGTTTATGTTGGTTCAAATTGTTCTTCATTTTAAATATCGTATAGTTGTTTCATATTTTTACACTATAAGTACCCTGTTTCTCCAAAAATAAGACAGTGTCTTATATTAATTTTGGATTCCAAAGATGCACTAGGTATTATTTTCAGGGGATGTCTTATTTTTTCCACGAAGAAGAAATGCGATTGGTGGAGACAAGAGACAGGGCCTTCTCAACCTTCTTTGTACCCTGGTAAATAATAAGGAGAGATGATACTCAGTTTAATCGTTTCACTGCACATATTTTGCAAAAAGGATAGAAAACTTTTTAATATCAAGGATTTATATGTTTTAAAAGATCCAACTTCTATTGTTGATTGTTGGTTGGTCTACCTAACTATCCTTGGAACAACTAGGAGGAACCTAGCCATGTAATATCACCTAGTTTCCCTGTCTCCTGCCACATTTCAGCTCAAGAAATGATTTGTACAGATTGTGTAGCTTCTGCTGAATCAACTTCCGCTTCCTGTGCCCTTCTATACTCTCAAACTGGTTTTTCTTTACTCAACCAGTGATGATGGAATCATTTCTTTACATTTTGGATTTGATAAAGTCGGCCACTACCTTAATATAAATATTAGAAGTGTTTCTTTCTCCATGATATGGTGTGTTTTTTTATTTTGGTTTGCATCAGAATTGGCTTTAACATTATACACAATAAAACTATAATAAAACTTTATTTATACACTGGCCTATCTGCCTGGGAGGACTCAGGGTGGTTTCCAACATAGGGCAAAACATTCAATTTCCAAACGACACAAAAACCATACAAAAATGAAACATTATAAAACATAAACAATCCTATTAAAAGAATCACAACATTTAAAAGTCAGATTCAGATTTACAAGGAAGTGGATAACGTGCAGAACAGGGTCCTTGGTGATGGCCAGGGAAGAGCCTGGGGCTAATCATTTTCAAAGGCCTGCTGGAACCACCAATCCAATATTTTTGGATTTTAAATTATATTTAAAATTATGTTTAAATGATTTTATTGTGAGCCACTTTGAGCCTCCTTTGTGGAGAGAGAAAGCAGAGTATAAATAAACAACAACCCATCCCACATCAGAGTTGATTTATTGACCTCTGAGCGTCTGCTCAAAGGCACAAAAGCAAATAATGAAGTGTACAACCTTAGTCAGCTCCAAAGCCCAGAGCACCTCTTATCTTTTATTGCAATGTACACTATATACAAGAGCAGAATAAAACATGTCCATTCTCTTAGCTGTACATAGCTGGAAGCAGGGAACCACATGACTATCTGATTTCTGTGGAATGTAAACACATTACTGGAAAACTCCAAAGTTACACTCTAGGAATCAAGTACAGCTCTGTGCATTTAACTCTTACATTGCATTGCTACACCACACAATTTAAACTATTACAATATTTCATTATATTTAAACCACCATATTCTGGCAATCACTTCACTGCTAAGTTAACAGAGTGCTAAGCTTTTCTGCCTTTTGAATTCAGTTCACAACAACAGATTATCCAAGGACAAAGGGAGAAATGGGAGGAGGAGATGAAAACTTCAACATTTTAAAAGCATCCGGAAAAGTGGGATGGCAAAGAGCTAACCCAGACTGCCCCTGGCCAACTGTGGCAAATGGAGGTCAGGAAGCTGTTTTAAATTCAAGTTCAAAGAACAATGACAACAAGTACAGGTAGATCAAGAAGGAAACAGTTTCAGATGAAACTAGTATTGTGACTGGCCAGATGGAAGGAAGGGAAGTAGCCATAGACTAGGCATGGGCAAACTTTGGCTCTCCAGATGTTTTGGACTTCAACTCCCACAAGTTCTAACACCAGTAGGAAATCTAAAATACCTGGAGGGCCAAAGTTTGCCCATGCTTGCTATATACACTCAGCTAGAGATTGAGACTATCAGTATCCTTAACTATACCAGCTGAAAGAAGAGACATCACCTATATTTGTCTAGTGGTGATCCCATTCAATGTTTATCTTGTCTTGTTAGAACAGTGGTTCTCAACCTTGATCCCTTAATACAGTTCCTCATGTTGTGATGACTCCCAACCATAAAATTATTTGTGTTGCTACTTCATAATTGTAATTTTGCTACTGTTATGAATTGTAATGTAAATACTAGGCCTGGGTAACAACGGAAAAATTTGTTTCTAAAATCGATTTGTATTTGGGGGTTTTTTTTGTTTCGATATTTAAAATAATTACAAAATTTTCCTTTTAAAAAGTTCGATATTTACGAAATTTCGTAAATGGTAAAAAATTAACGAATCGATTTCCGAAACAATAACGAATCGATTCGTTAATGGCGGACGCGACCGCGAAATACGCTAAAAAACCTCCAAAACCTTCTGAAGTTTCCCTCTCCCTCTGTTGTTGACTGTTGGTGTGATATTATAATTTTTTTTCACTAATTAAACCATAAAACTGGCCCAGACATGCGGAAATAATAACGAAACGACCTCAAAACAATAACGAAACGAATACAATATCGAAATACGAAGCATTTAAAAAACGTTTTTGAAAATTCGTTTTTTTAATAATTGCTCCAGAATGGTTCGTTATCGTTTTGTAATTGAAAAAATTAACGAATTATTAACGAATTACGAATTAACGAAACGAAACCGCCCAGCCCTAGTAAATACCTGATATGCAGGATGGACCAAAT